CTAATTTAAAGGAAAGCAGGTACTGCCTCTGAACTTGCTCAGTTAATACAAACCAAGTACATTAAGCCACAGAAGGGTGCTAGGTTTTGATAGACCTCTTTCTCCAACAAAAGCTTGAGAGATTGTTGAGGTACCCTCAGATCTTTGGTAGGAGCTAAAAGGCAATGTGAGCCTCCAATTCAGTATCACACACTTCCAGACAGCCCATGGGAGAGCTCAAATGGATCAAAGAAAAATGATGTGAGGGTTGGAGCAGCTCTGCTATGGGGACAGGCTGAGAGAGTTGGGGCTGTTCAGCCTGGAGAAGAGAAGCTCTGGGGAGACCTTATTGCAGCCTTCCAGTACTTAAAGGGGTCCTATAAGAAAGATGGGGACAGACTTTTTAGCAGAGCCTGTAGCAACAGGACAAGGGGTGATGGTTTTAAATGAAAAGAGGGGAGCTTTAGACTGGATATAAGGAAGACATTGTTTATGCTGAGGGTGGTGAAACCCTGGCCCAGGCTGCCCAGAGAGGTGATAGAAGCCCCATCCCTGGAAACATTCCATTGTCAGGTTGGACGGGGCTCTGAGCAACCTGATCTGGTTGAGGATGTCCCTGCTCACTGCAGGGGGCCTAGACTTGAAGGCTTGACCTTGAAAGGTCCTTTCTAACCCAAACCAGCCTGTGATTCCATGAAATTGCATGATGGTCTGTATGACTGATGTGCACAGCCTGGGTGATTTCAGACCTGGAAGCATTTTCCTTAAATTCAGCCCTGGGACATGACAAAAGTCTGGACGCAAAGGGGCTGGAAACACTACCCTCTTTAGGGGCAGGGACCTGTTGTGTGAGCAGCTTACTAAGATAAATCATCCTGAGGAATAAGAAAGAAGCAACCAACACAGGACAATACCTGGTGAACATGTTCAGGAAGGTCTGTATGATCTGCTCAGTGAAAGGCACTCCCATCTGCACCCTCAGTCCTTGAAACAGAGTGAGGAAGAAGCTCAGCATCTCATCTGTCACATCTAAGGTAAGAACAGGAAAGCAAAAAGAACGTGTTGAGGTAACACTCAAGTGCATCAATAAGTCTTCTTTGTGAGATTTGCTCCTCCTGTACAGGGAACCCCATTTACTCTTGGAAATTTAGCAGCAGGGGTGCCATTAGAAACCAAAACCAATAACCAGTACTACAAGGCTTAAAGATTGCTCATCCATTTCTGAAAATCGCCAGGGATGGTGAGTACAGCCAGCACCAAACAACTCAGAACAAATCTGACCCTATCAGTGAGGTCCTTAGTCTGCTCTGCCCATGCAGAGCACTTGGAGAAAGCCCTGGAGATGGTCTGGGCTGATCTCCAACTGCTCAGCCCTTGTACAGGGTTAACAGGAAATACAAGGAAATCCAAACCAGTTACACAGCTTGGGATGGGTCAGAGTCAGAACTCAGCTGCTTTTTTTTTTTGGCAGGAACTGAAAAGACCCTTCTAACTTCAGAAGTCATCTTCAGTGCATGTTGGCTGATCAGCACCACAGCTAATTCTTCATCAGTCCCAACATGCTTTATTAAATAACTGTAAGCTGAAGCTGCTCAACTCCTTCATAGCACCTTTTACAGCCAATAAACAGCAACTGCATGAGGCTGCAGCCTGTTCACCGGAGTCACAGCATCACCTTGTTGTCTTGGATCCTCTCTGCATTTCAGTTTTGTTTTGCCTCCACCCATGCCTGCTTCACTGAGAAAATGCCACACCTAGCTTCAGAAGTTTTCCTGGAACACCTTGCTCTTCATGAGAGAAGCTGCTGTAGTCCTGGGCATTCAGGGTACCTCAATGCAATACAAAAGGTCAGTTGCTGGCCAGAAGATTGCCAAGCAAGAGTCCTGGTTACATCTCAGGAGCTTTTCATTTACAGGGGGGAAAAAAACCCCCACCCCATCATTTCACCTAATCTGATGAGATCTACTCCTCTTCGCTTTCAAGCCTCTGGAGAGAATGTCAATGGCAAACATAGCCAGATGGGGTAGTTTAAAGGGGTTTTTTTGTGCTCAGGATCAGCTCCACTCTTGTTTCACTGTGTTATTTCACTGCTGAACACAACACCAGGAACCTCCATCTTCTGGAAGTGTGACAAACCTTAGATGTATCCTAGATAGCAGAGATGATCTCCCTTTCCTGTTCCAATTCAGCCCAGCCCACCCAGAAGTACAGACTCACATTACACTCAGGCACAGCAAACCCACACCATTCACATCAACACCACCACGATTCTATGCTGATGGACTCTGGATGTGATCAGTAGGTTATAAAGCTACTCACAGCATTAAAGCCTGTCCTATGGTTATACCTGACTGATGAATGAAAGCTGGGAAGAGGGCTAGTGAGACCTGCACGGATTCTTGCAGTGACTGATAACAGATCTGTCGAGACTTGGTGGATTCTCCAGAGATACTTTCTACAATATCTTCTAAAACGCTGAGCGTCTGATGGATGATCAATTTGGCTGCAAAAGAAAAGAGGTGATACTTCCTGTATGTGTCAAAATTAGTAATCAGAGGCAAGAAATGAAGAAAAGTCAAGTTGACACACACAGTAACTATGACAACCTACAAGGCAACATATACACCAAACTGGGGTTGGAGTAAAAAATGTCCCCAAGTGCACGTTCACATTTTAAACATTTAAACAGAATCACAGAATGTCAGGGATTGGA